CCCCCCCCCCCCCCAATTTTTCCCTGTATTTTTAGCTATACCCTAGGGTGTTATGTCCGGGAGAATACGGTACGTGTACTTCATGCATGTCTAGCAGCTTGATAGAGTTCTTGTGGTCCATGATCCGTGGGAAGAAAGGCAGAGGTGAAGCGAAAGATGGCAGTACCATGTCCTAGATGCTTCTGAACCAGTGTTCTCGCTAGGTTTAGGGCCTGTCTGACAAAACCCTCAAAAAAAAATTCCCCGTCTTAGGCTTTGACAACGAAATTTGTGTGGTCTGCAGTATAAGATGAAATATTTTTCCTAGTCTGATAAACTAGACGAAAAAAAAAACCAAGTCAGCCTACAAGAACACTACCTGCAATTATACTCATTCTATCAAACAACCTAGGCAGTAGCTAAGGACCTAGTCAGACTCACTAGAGCCGTAGTCCTCATTGCTATCACTACTACCATCCTCACTCCCCACGGGAACTGTGGCCCGTTCTTTCCTGGTAAGCCACGGGTACTCAACATCCATCCTTGCTGCTTCTGCTACCAGGGCCGCTTCTCGAGCAGCTGCTTCTGCTGCTGCCAGTGCAGCTGTTGCTGCTGCAGCTGCGGCCGATCTCTTCTTCGCACGCTTGCTCTGTCTCTCCCCGGACGCCATCAGCACATCGTTAGCAGGCCTTCGCTTCTTGGAAGCATTCCACCTCCTCAGCAACTCGGGCCACTCCATGTCGTAGTTAAGGAGCGACACAGCCATCAGCTCTCCCAGCTTCGCGTCGCACAGGTTCCCGCGAAGCCAACTCTTGATGATGTTTTGTCGTGAGAAGCCGCGCTCGCACTCGACGGTACTGAGCGGAAGCACGGCGACAGCCATCCACAGGTGGACGAGGTTCGGGTAGCACGTCGCCCAGTCGGGGGAGGACAGCATGAGTTTCAGGCTCTCCGCACACCCGACATCCTCTTGGTGTGTGGCCAGGATGGTAGAGAAGGTGACAAGCTCTCGCTGCGCTCTCGCCCTGTTGATGCCTGCGGTTGGGGTGCACATGGGAACATGGGAACATGGGAACATGTAGTGTTTAGACAAGCATGTGGAGACAACGCTAAACATACAGCTCATTCCCGGCATTTAACGCACCTGGTATAGTGTCAGGGTCATCTGGCTTCCGCTTGAACATGTTGCGCAGAGACTGGAGCCATTGGCCTAGCCGTCGCTCACGCTTTGCCTGGTTCTTGGGATAGAATCTCTGCTTGAACAGCTTCGCCCCGTCGAGGTTTGATAGGTCCTTGAGGCGGTAGTCGAGCCGGCCGACCAGGGTCGTGATGAACTCGCGCGCCAGCACCAAACACGCTTGGTGGTCCACACCGCTCGTCTGCCCCTTGATTTTCTCCTCGTGCAGTCGGTATCGATGGCTGACCGATGTGCCGTCGGAAGCAGTGCCAGCAACAAGGACCTCGCGGAACTCCCCAGATGCGTGCTTGTCGAGGAACGGGCCCAACGCGTCTCCCCCCTGACCAAACATCGCGTCGTCGCAGTCGAGGTAGCGTGTGCGCAGCAGTAAGGTCGTGTTGTGGACCATCGGCAGCACATGGGTTGCCTCAACCTGTAAACGGGGGTGCACAAGCAGGATGGTTAGTAGGAGATTGTAAATGAAAAAACCGGCCACGTGTAACTCGGGAAACTGCTTACCTGACGCCGCTGAAACTTCATGCTTAGCAGGTTGAGCTCCTTCAAGACGTCAGAAAGGAAGAACAACAGGAAATGGAACTTATAGCTCGTGACGACGTGATACATCTTCTTGTTTGTTTCGTGCAACACCATGACTGCAGCAGGAAAAACCTTCACCAGGCGCTGGATGGCGTCACCACGCGACAACCACCTGACGTCCTTGATGCCTTGAACTTCAAGCTGGGTCTCGCAAATGACCTCCTGAAGCTCTTGAAACCGGGCGTGGTTAACACAGGAACGACCGAGGTTCTCAGCCACGGCGCGGACCACCTTGTCCACGACGCTGAAGTCAGGATGCTTGGCGGCAGCATCCTTGGCCGCCAAGGCCTCCCTGCAAGACAGCAGATGGTAACATTAGCACGGGTTTTTTTTTTTAAAGTAGGCAGGAAACGCGCAGTAACAACGCCTACCTGTGCGCGATGCAGTGAGACGACACAAGGTGAGGAACCTTGACTTTCAGGCGCGCGGTGACTCCGTTGTGCTGTCCAAGCATGACGGAAGCACCATCAGTGCTCATACCGGTGAGGCGCTGTAGGTCGATGCCGGTACTCTCCAGATGCGTCAGGAGCACTGTGGTGAGTGACGCGGCGTCACACTGCTCCACACTGAGCAAGGCGAAGAACTCCGTCACAGGTGCGTTGTCACGCATGAACGTCAAATAGACGATCATGTGCTTCCCCCGCCGTCGGTCGGTGCTCTCGTCTAGCTGGATGCCAAGGTACGGACTGTCGCGGATGTGCTTCAGCTGGCGGGACTTGAGGTAGCACACCATGGTCTCGACCAGTTGTGCGAAGCCGTACCTGAGACACCACGGGTTGATACTCGTTAGACTCGTAACCAAATAACAATAAAAAGATGAGTAAAACGGGACACTTACTCGCTGTAGTACGTCCCGTTCTCCTTCAGGGGCAAATCCGGTGTCCCCTGCTCTGCCATGAATTGAACCAAAGCCACGAAAAGAACAATGGGAGCATCAGACTTGCAAATGAATAGCACGATAGCCATCAACCGAGCAATACGCTTGACATCAGCGTCCCCACGGTGGAAGTCAGCAATTGACTTCTGCACTTTCTTGACGCCGTCGCGCTCCTCCTTCCTCAAGACCGCGGCCTCGTGTTTCAGACTGTGGTGATGCTTGCGCATCGTCTGCTTCTGGATGTCGATGCCGCCATCGCCGTTACGCCCGTATTTGTAGTTCGGGTCACCGAAGACCATGCAGACGCTGCAGCGCATGCACGGGCGGCCTGCCTTGTTTTCGGAGATGAGGAGCCAAGGAAAATACCGCTGCCACTGCTGCTTGCACTTCAACTGAAGCTCCTCAACCGACAGTTGCTTGCCCTTCGGGTCTTCGAAGTCTTCACTCGCGGGTTCAGGTTCTGGTTCCGCGGGGCGCGGAAGAACTGACGGTGCTGGCTGAGTCGGACCGCCCGGACGGCAGACGGTGAGAACACGCTGTTTATACCGCTTCTTCATAGATCTGTCGGGCAAGACGGGGTTAGCACTGCGAGAGGTTGTAGCGACCGACACTGGAGGGATGCTCTTATTTGCACATTCGTCAGGGAGCGGGGGGGATAACAGCGTTGTTGGGGTAGTCGTTGCTGGCACGTGTTGATCGCCATTTTCCGAGTTGGGCAAAGGTACCGCAGCAGAGGTCGACGCAATCGGAGGGGCAGCAGAAGCGATCTGCTTGCCCCGCGTTAGGAAGTCTAGGGCGGAAAGCACGGGCTCCCCATCGCACGGTCCGCCGGCTGTGAAGGCCATAGCCTAAACGCTGGGAAGCGTCACGCTGGGAAATCAGACGCTGGGAGGGAAACGATCCATGCTCGGCTTGGAGAGAGGTGAGGACGAGCAGGAGAAACAGGCTTGTTTTCACGCCAGACCCAGCTGCATGAAACCTCATCACCGTGCACTGCACTCAGAACCGAAAGGCGGTGCGTGTTGGGAGCGGGGGGCACTACGACCACAGTGATGTGTTGCGCGCCCTCTACGAAAAGCAAATGCGCTGGCACAACGGGACAGCGCGTTGTCGTGGCTGTGGCTGGCGTCGGCGCCGACAGCCACCCAAACGACAAACACCTGGCAGCATATGCCGCAGATACATGCCAGCGAGGTTGCACAAGGCAGTTACAGAGCTGTATAAGACACGCGTAATGAATGCGTGCAGTTACAAGGCAGCAATCGGCTGTACCTGTGGTGGTCCTGTCCTCTGGTCAACTGGGCCTATGGCCTAGTGGGTCAAGTTGTCGGTTTCAGACGAAACCGAACTCGCTATCTGTATCCTCAGATAAAAAATTCTACACGTCTGAAAAAATCATACGAACTTAAAAGTCAAATCTTGCTCATCAGATGAGAACAAACACAAAATCTTAGGATTAAGATGAATACAAAAAAACCAGTCTTAAACGCAGACCATCAGACCAAATTGGTCTGATAACGAGAACCCTGTTCTGAACCACCCACGCCAACAAAGTCATTTCACAGTACCGTCAGCCCCCGGATAGAAGCGCCCCTGGGGTTATAAAAAAACACGTTTTTTTAGGGGGTGGGCTTATAATCGAGGATTTTTATAAGCGCCGGGGCTTATATATAGCATATATAAATATTTTCGTTTGTACACCAAACTGTAGATCCCGTTCTCGCGAGTTGAATCGAGTAAAAACTATACAGGGTTGCGATTGAGAATCTCGCTTGCAAGTTGGCAGGGATTGATTCCCTGCCAACACACACAGTCAGAATGAGTCAACGTGCACCCCTGACAGCTCACTCTGACTGGACGCGCTGGCAGTGAGCCGAGCGAGGGTGAAGGGCATCGAAATTCAAAATGTGGGAATGGAGATGTTGAATTTCGTTACGATGAATTCAGTAAAATTATAGTTGGACAAAAAAGGGTGGCGCTTATAATCCGCAAGCCTTCAGGGGTGCGCTTATAATCGAGGACCAGATATAAGCGCCCTCATCCTTTTATAAGCGCCGGCGCTTATCCGAGGCCTGCGCTTCTATCCGGGGGCTTATGGTAACCTTGATTGATGCATTAAAGAAAAACATGGTCATAATAATAAAAGAGCACACATACCAGTACAGCATTTTCCACGCAAATCAGGACAAACACGGCATCCATACCTGTAACTACCAAGAAAAAGAAACAAAAACAGCACACCAGAAGCAGCATTGTCCATCCAGCCGTACAAACATCTCCGCTCCACCACACCAGAGGTCAGTCACTTCTCTCTCTAAGACGTAAGGCCTCCGCAGCCCAACTGTCCGCAGCTGACAAGTCCAAGAGGTCTTAGCTGTAGGTGGCAGACACACAAACCTGCAATCAACAATGCAGCATTCGGGCAGGAAGCAATGGAGATATTAGACAATGCTCGGCACTCGCACCGCATTTCAGCGCAAGCATGTAGCGCAGTGCAGGCAATCCCCGCATCAGAGCAGCTACACACGTCACGGCACGGCCAACTCACATATTCAGAATCGTTCTCGCTCTCAGCATCGCGAAAGGCCAGCCATGGATTCAGCCTGACGAGGTCCAGCGTGCTGGCGCCATTGGCCACGGCAAACCGCTTCCAGTTCACCACACCGGGGGCCAGTGCGCGGCTCACACAGTCCCAGTTGGCCTTGGAGGGTTCTCGCTCCATGCAGAGAGAGCGGAACGCAGGGAGGCGTGAGCAGGAGTTGATCATCCCGGGGTTGTACCTCCACAGGTCTTCCTCATAGATGTTGAGAAACTTGGCCACCGAGGCGCAAGTGTCATTCTGTGGAAATGAAAGGCAGCAGGAGGGTGAGAAGAAAAGAGGGAGTGGATGAGGAGCAGGTACCGCCGGGGTTGTACCTCCACAGGTCTTCCTCGTCCAGGTTGAGAAACTTTGCCTCAGAGGCGCATGTGTCATTCTGTGGCAGGGAGAGGCAACGGGGGAATAGGAGGAGAGGAGGTTTTGAGAAGAGGTGGGCAACGTGGTGGAGACAAGGATGTGGCAAAACAGGGGTAGTGACATTCTGGGAACGTCTAGGGAAAGGAAGGACTGAGTAGCAGGTGGTGCATTTTCCGGTTGGGCGAGCCATGGTAAGGTGAAGCATGGTAGGGCAAATCATGGTAGGGCAAAGCATGGTAGGGCAAAGCATGGTAGGGCAAAGCATGGTAGGGCGAAGCATGGTAGGGCAAAGCATGGTAAGGCGAAGCATGGTAGCGCAAAGCATGGTAGGGCAAAGCATGGTAGGGCGAAGCATGGTAGGGCGAAGCATGGTAGGGCGAAGCATGGTAGGGCAAAGCATGGTAGGGCAAAGCATGGTAGGGCGAAGCATGGTAGGGCGAAGCATGGTAGGGCAAAGCATGGTAGGGCAAAGCATGGTAGGGCGAAGCATGGTAGGGCGAAGCATGGTAGGGCAAAGCATGGTAGGGCGAAGCATGGTAGGGCGAAGCATGGTAGGGCGAAGCATGGTAGGGCAAAGCATGGTAGGGCAAAGCATGGTAGGGCGAAGCATGGTAGGGCAAAGCATGGTAAGGCGAAGCATGGTAGGGCAAAGCATGGTAGGGCAAAGCATGGTAGGGCGAAGCATGGTAGGGCAAAGCATGGTAAGGCGAAGCATGGTAGGGCAAAGCATGGTAGGGCAAAGCATGGTAGGGCGAAGCATGGTAGGGCAAAGCATGGTGGAGTGGCACGCGGTGAAAGGAAGGAGTGGGGTTGAAGAGGAAGTACAATGCATGGCAGCACATGGCAGCACATGGCAGCACATGGCAGCACATGGCAGCACATGGCAGCACATGGCAGCACGTGGCAGCACATGGCAGCACATGGCAGCACATGGCAGCACGTGGCAGCACATGGCAGCACATGGCAGCACATGGCAGCACATGGCAGCACATGGCAGCACATGGCAGCACATGGCAGCACATGGCAGCACATGGCAGCACATGGCAGCACATGGCAGCACATGGCAGCACATGGCAGCACATGGCAGCACATGGCAGCACATGGCAGCACATGGCAGCACATGGCAGCACATGGTAGCACGTGGCAGCACATGGCAGCACATGGCAGCACGTGGCAGCACATGGCAGCACATGGCAGCACATGGCAGCACATGGCAGCACGTGGCAGCACATGGCAGCACATGGCAGCACGTGGCAGCACGTGGCAGCACGTGGCAGCACATACACGATGCATTCTAAGTCTGATTCAGAAGTCAATTGCATACAGGATGGAAGTTAGAGTGGGACACGGAAAACTCACAGGCTGGACGTAGTAGAAGGCAGAGCAAGCTGGAAAATACTCCTTCACATTCACGTACTTTGTACTGATAACCTTGGAGCAATCAATACCCTGGGGGGGAGGGAAAGTGTGAGAGGGAGGGGAAGAGTGAGAGAGAGAGAGGGTGAGTGAGAGGGTAGGGGTGAGAGGTTGAGAGTGAGGAAGGGGTTGAGAGTGAGGTATGGGGCGAGAGAGAGGGAGGGGGTGTGAAAGTGGGAGGGGGTGAGAGAGAGGGAGGGGGCGAGAGAGAGGGAAGGGGTGAGAGAGAGGGAGGGGGTGAGAGAGAGGGAAGGGATGAGAGTGAGGAAGGGAGTGAGAGAGAGGGATGGAGTGAGAGAGAGGGACGGGGTGAGAGAGAGAGAGACGGGGTGAGAGAGAGGGATGGGGTGGGCGAGAGAGACGGGGTGAGAGAGAGGAAGGGGGTGAGAGAGAGTGAAGGGGTGCAAGAGATGGAGGGGGTGAGAGAGGGGAAGAGGGTGAGAGAGAGAGATGGTTTCAATGAAAGGAAGGGGGTGAGTGAATGATTGTGAAGAAGCGGCAGAGACGTGCAGAATTGATATGATTTGGCGTAACATGGTGCCACATGGTGCATGAATGACTCTAATGTCCCCAACATCCTCAACGCAAAATAGTGCCACGGTGCCACATGGTGAGTGAATGACTCTAATGCCCCCAACGTGCCCAGCGTGCATGTCACGGGACTCACGGGGTTCATGCCCACGAATTCCTTGAGCGTGAGCCCAAACATGGAGTACACGTCCTTGCACGTCCAGTCATCGCCAGTGACCTCTTGCACCTCACGAGACTCTGACACCCTAGCTGCACACGATTAACAACAACCGAGAAGACGCGACATGCATAGATAGCTAGGTGATTTCTGAGTCAACTCAAGAAGCACCTCCATTCATCGCCAGTGGCCTCTTGAATTTTACGACACTCTGAAGCTCAAGCTGCACACGCACAATACAAGTGGTGAAGACGCAACATGCATGCAGAGATAGCTAGGTGACTTTGAGTCGACTCCAAAGGCACCTCCAGTCATCGCTATTGGCTTTTTCAACCTCACAAGACCCCGAAGCCCTAGCTGCACACGATCAACAACAATTATGAAAGGACTCAAAACTATTGTCCGTCACGACAGCAGCACACAACCGTGACAATTCTTCTAGTAGCAGAGAGAGCAAGCTTACCACAACCACCGGAATTCTTCTGGTACTTGGGCGGGAAGATGAACGTAAATCTCTGGGTGCCACTGTAGAAGCACGAGCCCACCTTGCAAGGGTTCAGCAGCGAGAGCAAGCTTACCACAACCGTTGGAAGTCTGTTGGTACTTGGGCGGGCAGATGCATGTGAAGTAGCTCCGGGCACGGTTGTCGAAGCACGCGCCCGCCTGGCACGGGTTCTGCCTGTAGCTTCCACATGCGCCCGCTGAAAGGGACCACCGAAGGGTCAAACCAAGGAAGCAGAGGATAGATCTGAGGGCTTAGATTTTTGAGTCCACTCAAAAGTCAGCTGCTGTCGAAGCACGAGCCTGCCTGGCACGGGTTTTGCCTGTACATGCCACATATGCCCGCTGACGAGGGACCAACGAAGGCAGCAGAGGATAGCACTGGAGGGGTTAGCAGTGGAGTGGCGCGGAGGATAGAAAGGGGGGTGTGCAATAACAAGGATTCCCGTTCCATTGAGCACAGCGGCCCACTGGAGAGGGACCAACGACGGCAGCAGAGGATAGCAGTGGAGGGGATAGCAGTGGAGGGGATAGCAGTGGAGGGGATAGCAGTGGAGGGGATAGCAGTGGAGGGGATAGCAGTGGAGGGGATAGCAGTGGAGGGGTTAGCAGTGGAGGGGATAGCAGTGGAGGGGGATGCGTGGGGCAGGCCGGCAGGCGGCGCAGAGAAGAGGAGCATAGCATTAGGCAGTATTGAAAAGCTATTGATCCGACAACGAGCTTCTCTTGAGCGCAAGTGACGCCAGGTCCCCACAGGTAGCGGGACGGGGAACAAATAGATTGGGGCTTACTGGTTATCCTCTTTACGTCGGGGTACTCAGAAGGAGCTGACGTGGCACCAGCAAGTGTTGTGTTGTCGCTGGCAGGTGTGGTGGTGTCGCCGGCAGGGGTGGTGGTGGTGGCAGGTGTGGTAGTGTCACCAACAGGTGCGGTGGTGGTGGCAGGTGTTGTGTTGTCGCCAGCAGGTGTTGTGGCGTCGCCGGCAGCTGCAATAGTGTCGCTGGCTGGTGCGGTGGTGGTGGCAGGTCTTGTGGTATCGCCGGCAGGTGTTGTGTTGTCGCTGCCAGGAGCACTGGTGTCGCTGGTGGGTGTTGAGGTGGTGCTGGCAGGTGTTGTGGTAACGACGCCACCAGTGATGCAGCGCGCGGAGATAAAAGTGTTGCCAAGGGGGGCTTGGACCTGGGCACGGGGAGGGCAGCATGAGAGCGAGGTCGTTGGTCATGTGGGGAACGAGCGGCTTCGGGAGCAGGGAATTAGTGAAAGTGAGTGTGAGGGTGAGAGTGAGAGTGAGGGTGAGAGTGAGAGTGAGAGTGAGGGTGAAAGTGAGAGTGAGAGTGAGAGTGAGGGTGAGAGCGAGTGTGAGAGTGAGTGTGTAATTAGCATCAAACGCTCACCTCTGCTGACCATACACGAGGGAGCCGAATGCCCTTCCATTGCAGCTGGAACCGCGGAAGAACAGAATCTTGTCGCAAGCAGCCTTGCCATCCTGCTGCCACGCCACCTGCACCTTCAAGCTCCCGCCGCCCAGGCTGGGCACGATGGCGACGCAGCGGCGCGAGTTGAAGGCGATAGAGAGCCCGTTGACCTTCACCCGCGTGCCCACCAGGGCTGCCGCGCTCGCTGAGGGAGCAGCCGCTGCGACTGTGGGAATGGGGACACGTGGAGTGGGGGACGCATGGAGGGGGGCGGTGTCTGTGGCATTGGCGGACCGACCATGAAGATGCGAGTGAGCAAGCCTAGTTTGGGCCTTTGTCGCTGTGCGAGGCGCATGCTGAGCATGGGAGCACATGAGCATGCGAGCGTAGGAGAACACATGAGCACCGCATGAGCGTGCATACTCGCAGTTGCATGCTCGCATAGCATGCTGACTATGCGAGCAAATGAGCATGCGAGCGCAGGAGAACACACGATGCGTACCCGCGATGACGACCACGACGGCGAGCAGAGCAGCCGTGACGGCCTTGCGAGTCGGAGTCCCCATCATGCTGGTAGATCTTCACCCTTGCGCGGCGGTACAGGCAATTTTCAAGGCGCCTCAAAATTGCTGAATCTTCACCCTGTGCGGCGGCTCGAGCTGACGTTGCTGGGAACGCGTGAGGCGCCGAGCAGACGCGGCGGGTCTCGGGGAGCAGATGATGTCACAATGCAGGTGCTTATGCACGCCTCTGGATCTTCACCCTTGCGCGGCGGTACAGGCTCGAGCTGACGTTGCTGGACTCGCGAGAGACGCGCCGCGGGGAGATTGCTGCTACCGTGACGCGGCTGGGGAGAGAAGAATGTCAGTTTTGAGTCGACTCAAAAGTCGGCTCGCAAGAGGCGCCGCGGAAAGATTGCAGCTACCGTGACACGGCTGGGGAGAGCAGAAGATGTCGGAATGCACGAATCGGAGGGAGGAGTGGTAGGTATAGAGAGAAACCGCACGGGCGGTGATGCTACCGGTTGTAACAGACGACGCGGTGAAGACGGTAATGAGCCACGGTATGGACGAAGTATGCTTAAATGGACATCGCCATGCGACGCTAGTAAGTGCGCTCGGGCCATTGCCTCACTCATCGCCTGACGACGCCGCGCATGATCCGCCTGGCGTGCGGCGGCGCAGCGGGTATAGGGTGACGCGCACGGTGCCCGCGAAGAGCGCGAGCGCACGCGGGTGATGCAGCGACAGCGCACGGCGAGCGAGGGCGCACGGCGAGCGAGGGCGCCGTGACGCAGCGGGTAGGGTGACGCGCACGGTGCCCATAACGAGCGCGAGCGTGCATGTGACGAGCGCGAGCGTGCCCATGGCGCGCGCGAGTGCTTACGCCGTGGCCGATGGCTGCGGAAGTCAATTTTGGAGGAACGCGATCCTATCCTATCTTGCCAATGTGGCTTCAGTTGAAATCTGTGGATTTGGAGTGGTATTATCGAAGCGAATGAGAAACACGACCCTCTAAAACTGGGTTAGGTTACCTGAAATTCGACAACTCTTCGTTAGATACTCGTTGCGCGGCATAGAACACGGAATAGAGCCCATTTACCGTATGATACATCAATCTGTTGAACATACAGCCTAATACATCATTAATACATACTGCCTAATTCCACCAACGATAACCACCGATGTTGACCTCCTCTCCATTCCAGTCAATTCCTCCTGCTGTGAATCCGCACTCTTTAATCCTAGCAATAGTATTTTTCTATACCTAAACCATCCATAGCTACGAGTAGTGGAATAGGAAACTGGCAACAATTTCTGGTACCGTCATCTCCTGGTTAGAAGACCCGGGGGTCTTATCCCGAATGTGCCAAAAATGGGTTTTGGGGTCTTCTGTTATGGCATATAGTACGTAAGACCCCTGGACATCTATTAATTACCGTACCAAAAAATGGATTGTACAGAGTCAGGGCCTCAGATTCGTGCTGAAAATTCAGAGTTGGTACAAATCGTTTTCCTGAAAATCATAGAAATCGGCCATAATATGACATTTTACACGACAAATCTATTAAACATTCCTGTTTCTTTTCAACAAATTGCTGAAAAATCAGCCTCAGTTTTATAAAATGTCTGAAATCTCCGCCTTTTTTACCCAAATCGGCTTTTTTTCGCTGACTTCTGAGGCCCTGGAGTGCTGTGTTGAAGAAAATAAAAAAAATTGAGTTCCGAATTTTGAATTCCTTCACAGCGCGTAAATTTGTTCTCAGAATCTCGCACTTGAGTCTTGCTGATTCCTATCCGCACGTTCTTTAATCAGGGCCCAAAATATCAAGGTAAAACGCCCTGATTACTCTGGGGGCCGACCGCTTTTTCAGGATTACCCTGCCGAAATCAGGATTTCATGTTAGTTACACTTCTCTAAAAAGAGCATGTTTTTTTTTTTTTTTTTTTTTACACTGGAAGGATTTATGGTTAGCCTGACGGAATCAGGGTAGCAGGGCCTCAGATTTGTTTTTAGCTGTCAGAACATCATAGCTTATGCATTTTGTGTAGGCTATAGTGGGGTAGCCCATAAGGGGTACAACCCAATTAGGGTTAGTACTTGTACCCAACTCTTTCTTAGTTGATTCATTCTCGTTTCTTCTCATGGTATCGAGCAGGTTCCCTAGTGGGAACGCTACCTAGGGCCCACCACGATATATATATTTTTTTCCTGCCCGGGGCGCGCTTCGCCCTAGACTGAGTCGCGCGCGCCCCACGTGCCCTCCCTACCGTCGCACCGCCCTTAGCGGCCCCTCTCACGGCCCCTTGAGCCGCTCTTACGGCCCCGTGCACCGCTCTTACGGCCCCGCGCACCGCCCTTTACGGCCCCGCGCACCGCCCTTCCGGCCCCTCGCACCGCCCATCGGCCCCTCTCGTCGCCCGTCGACCCCGCGCGCCACCCTAGCGGCCCCTTGCGCCGCCCGTCGGCTCCGCGCGCTGCCCTTGCGGCCCTTCCACCCGCCCGTCGGCCCACCGTGCGCCGCCCTTGCGGCCCCTTGCACCGCCCTAGCGGCCCACCCGCCTAACCCTAGCGGCCCCGCCGCCTACTCCTACGGCCCCGCCGCCTACTCCTGCGGCCTCGGCGCCGCCCTTCCCGACCCCGGCGCCACCTCGACTGGCCCCGCCGCCTACACCTGCGGCCAAGGCGCCGCCCTTCCCGGCCCCGACGTCGCCTCACCTGGCCCCGCCGCCCTTCGCGGCCCCTCGAGCCGCCCTCCGCGCACTCCTCATGGCCCCTCCGCCGCCCTTTGCGGCCCCTCGAGCCGCCGTCCGCGGCCTCCTCACGGCCCCTCCGCCGCCCTTCGCGGCCCCTAGCGGCCAGCCGCCGTCGCCCCTAAGGCAGGAGCCGCCACCGTCGAGCCGCCCAGCAGCCGAGACGCCGAGCCGCCCAGCAGCCGAGCCGCCGGGCTGCCGAGCCGCCCAGCAGCCGAGCAGCCGAGCCGCCGAGCCGCCGAGCCGCCTAGTAGCCAAGCAGCCGAGCCGCCGAGCCGACCTGCAGCTGAGCCGCCCGCACTGCCGAGCCGCCCTGTCTGGTAAGAGTAGCGCTTCTGTCACTGCACTGCCCTTACCCTACTGTTCGCACTACTAGCCTACTGCTGTCATGGCTACCCCTAGTGTCCTCGCTTTTGACGCTGAGGGTAGGGCCATTGAATTTAACGTCTGGATAGATGACCTGCAGCTTTTTTTACAGTGCGATAGGGCAGACGGTCTCTCCCTCTTTGACCTCATTTCTGGTGCCTCTCCTGCCCCCGCTGTTGATGCTGACGCCACTGTTCGCTCATAGTGGGCCACACGCGATGCTGCTGCACGTCTTGCTGTGTGTCGCCACCTGCCTACCTCTGAGCGTGCACACTTTAGTCAGTTCAAGAGCGCTCAGACCTTGTACGACGCTATAGTTGCACGCTACTCCTCCCCGGCCACTGCTGCACTGAGCCGCCTCATCCTACCGTACCTCTTTCCCTGACCTTGCTGCCTTTCCCACAGTCGCTGACCTCATTACGCACCTCCGCACTAGTGACACTCGCTACCGCACTGCGCTTCCTAATGAGTTCTGCGCCAAGAACCCCCCCCCCCCCCATGTGCATCACCCTCTACTACATAGTCACCCGGCTCCCTGACTCTCTCCGTGTAGTCAGGGACCACTTCCTCTCAGTTTGCCCCACCACTCTCACCGTTGACCTCCTCAAGAAGGCCCTCCTAGGAGCAGAGAAGAGCATAGTCGC